ACTTCTTAACCCGCTCCAGCTTCCAAGTTTGCTTTCGTTGCCTTGAATCGATTAAACGTCTTTGTCACTTATTTATTTATTGTGGAGATGTTTTTCAAGCTCGCTACAAGTACTCATTCCTTCCTCTCCTCTCCCTCTCACCGTCCGCTTCTGGAGAGTGTGGAATTGTTGATAAGTCGCCTTGGCAGCGCGGCGAGAGTAATCATTTTCCTCCAGATGTTAGAGTTTGGGAAGGAAACCAAAAGGGAGGAAGGAGAAGGAGGGGAACGGGAGAAAAAGCAGCTGCCGCCACTACCAGATCCACCCCTTCTACATGAAGTCATCTACTCCTCCCTCCCTCCGGCCCCCACAACCAACACCTCCTCTAAACTCTGCTAACTCCCCTCCTCCCTCCTCCCTCCTCCCTCCTTCCTCCTTCTCAGTTCTACACATCCTGCCTCTTTCTGTATCCCAGGAGGCAGCCGGGGCAGGCTGTGTTTACTGCTGTGGTAATTGGAGTAGTTTGGAGAGATCCTGACCCCGGCCCTGCTATGGCCTAAGATATATATATATGTGTGTGTGTGTGTGTGTGTGTGTGTGTGTAGGCATGCGTCTGTTTGTGATGACTGGCAGTGAGGCCAGGGAAGGAAAGCAGGCCGTAGCCGGTGTCAGCCCACTGGGGAACAGACAAATTGGTTTTCACTATGCTGTCTGTCTTTTCTTGTCTTATATTCTCCGGCTATCCCTTTTCTTTTCCCTGTATATCTCTCCGTCTCTCCACCAACTCAAAGTCACAATCATTCACGCTTTCTCTTCTTCTTCTTTTTGCTCTGCAGTGCTCCTTAACTCCTTTTGTTCCACCTCTCTTTCCATCTATCTCTCTCTGCTGCTCATCATTTCATCTCTCCCAGCAGAGTTGAGCTGCATAGCATAAGACGGTAACTCCTTCCAGATATGAGCAAAAAAAAAAACTCCCCCTCAGTTTGCAGCCAGAGACATGAGCAAATTCATCCAACCTAATCCAGGTGCCTGTTGTGTTTATCTGCGGGTGAGATGGATAGGAAAAGGCCTGGAGCCGGGGTGTCAGGGTGGAGTGTGCAGAGTGCGGCCCTATAAACACTCTCAGACAGCCCCTTCATATGTTGCTTACACACTCCAAACACGGCATATAGCATTTAGCATTAGCTGTACTGTCTGTAACAATCGGCATTAGCTCCAGTTTGTATTCATCAACATATACACGGAAGCTTTGATCGGGGGAGAGAGTCACAGGAAAGTGAGGCATGACAGTGATTTAGCATGCATCTAGTGACCTCATCGCAGGGCTGTCAGGTAGCGACAGTGGGACACGGCTCACCTACTTTTAGCTCACCACCCTCCTCCAGTCCTCATCCCCCTCCGTCTTGCTCCTCCCTGATAGCTTTTCCCGCTCTGCTGATTTCACAAATAGGCCTCATTGATTGAATCTGATTCTTCTGGATAGAGCAGCTTTATTGAGTGGCTTTTCCGCTGATGGACAGGAGCGTGCCGCGGATGTGTGTGTGTGTGTGTGTTAGGTGCACGCATGCTCACACGTTTGAGATGATAAGGAAAAACTTCCTTTACTCATCCCTCTCATTCTATAATCCATCAGTTATTCCCTCCCTTGGGAATTCCCCCCATCAGCCAGATCATTCCAGACACACATGCAGCTTGCTTACACACAGGGTCTCACCATCGGCTGCATCTGAGTAAATGTTTTATGGTGGGGGCTGCATGCTGACTGAGGAGACAGTTAATGCAGTAACACCTTAAGCAAGGCAACATTAAAGTCTTAACTGCTCTCTCTGTTCATCAAACATTCATCTTAGCTTGCGCGTCTGTGGCAGGAAGCTAGCCCGGTACACAGAGCGCCGCTCCAACTCCACTCCAGAAGTGTCCCAAGCATAACGTTTTGGACTCTTCTGATCTCACAGCCCCCTGTCTGCAGCCATTTTGGATCTGCCATCTTCTCTTGTTGTGCGGCTCTGACACTGCCAGCACTTACAAAACGTCCACAGAAAGCAATGTTGGCAAAAATTTTGCAACAGGGAATTGATATCTTGATGTGCGGGGGAAAAAATTGGCTTGTTTCAGATGTAAAACACAAATAATCTGCCGGGGTTTGGACGCTTTAGCTAACAAACTGTGTTAGTGAGAAGATGGAGCTATATCAGCGTCCCTCCACTGGGGATACACACATTTCCCACACAGCGACGCACACCTCATCCTTGCAGCAGCAGCAGCAGCAGCATCTGTGCTCTTCCCCTTCTCACTGCCCTCTATTTTAGTCTCTCTCCTCTCAGCAGGCAGCGCGCCACCTATGCAGAGTTGGATGGATGGTGTCCCCCCCCTTGCCCCGCACACATTTAACCCCAACAACCCTGCAGATCCATCATCATACAGCACACACAAACACACATAAGCAGCCCTAACATCATTTCCCAGCATGCAGTTGTCCTGCAATGTAGCCTGCTGTGGAGCTAACCCACCATGCTCTCTCTCTCTCTCTCTCTCTCTCTCTCTCTCTCTCTCCATACATAAACACCAACTCACCTCTAACAACCTCCTAAATGTGCTCTTTATTCTGATTTGAAGAGGTTGGTGTCTTTAAGTGTTGCCACAAAAGATCTGTGTCTCTCTGGTTTGCACTCATTCTGCAGGGAGGCACCTCGCGCACCAGGACGATTGATTTTTAGAAAATTAAGGAGCTATTGAAATTAGGGTTAGGGAGACAAGCGGCTCTGTGTGTTAGGGAAAGTTTATGATGTCAGCAGAGTGAATAGTGTTTGTACAACTCTCCTTAAAAGGTGAAGATGAATGTCTGATTTATTGTTGTGACAAATGTGAAGCTTTAAAAGCATGACACAATTAGCCTTATCCATGATTTCAATCTGGTGACAATTTGTACGGTCTTATACACACACACACACACACACACACACACACACACACACACACACTACTGCACAAAAACAGCCTTTTTTGAGTTATTACTTTTGGTGGGTTTTTTCTTAATTTTATTTGTAAAGGTTTCTAGAGGTGGAGGTGTACATTCATTTCTGCTGTAAATGACTTAAGAAGGAACTCGTGACAGAGACATAACAATGACACATTGATATTTACTTAATGACCTTTTTCCATGTGATGGGCAGCTATTTCATTGCTTGTTCATTCATGTGAACACGTGTTTACACTCAGTACCCACAGCATCTAATTAGTAGTGATTTTGTCTCTCCGTTGAAGAGGGTTAACTTGCCCATATTAGCATTGTTAGCTGTTGACCTGGGCCATGTTCAATTAGCCTAGCCTGGTTATTATTGTTGACTGTGAATGTCAAGTGGCACTGCCTCACCTCCAGAGCTGTTAGCGAGGGAACGAACGAGAAAGAGGCAACTGTTTGAGAACATCTTCAGTGTCTGAGACTTAACGTTTGATGGATATTAACTTTGATTTATTGAGGAATGCACTAGTTTTACTCTGTTTATCAGTCAATTGTCATATAAGCTTGTTTTTAAGTCTTGTCTTTTTCCATCATATCATTCTTCAAAACACGTGTGATGCTTCACTAGTGTTTGGACTTATGGCTATCTCTGCATGAAAGAGCATGTAGAAAAATAATCTGTCATTTTCTGTGCCTCCAGCCCTCCCCATTAGAAGGAGAGAGACTGAGCACAGTGGAGGTAGCCATGGAGAAAAAGCAGCAGAGAAAAATTCCTTGCTCTGTTAATTGGCAGCTCTGTGGTACACTAAATATTGCACAGGCGCACACAAACACACAGCTGAATACTGTGACTGCTCTGAAGCCACTGCCTTATATTTAGTCAAGGGAGACCAGCCTCTGTCACTTCTTCTCTTGCTTAACCTCACTCTTTTCTCTTCCTCTCTCTGTGGCGGTGTTGAGGAGGAGTCTCAGGGGAGGGCTTAACTCTGAGCCCTCGTTCTCTTTTTTTTTCCTTTCTCGCTCTGTCCCTTACCACGTCTTTCTTTCCTTATCGTCCTGTGAATAGAGCAGCAGACTGTTGTTATACTTAGTCCAGGAGACACCGTCTGTGCACAGAGAGAAAAGGGAAATGGAGATGGTTTCGGTATCTTCGTCCTGTTTTTTTATTTTTGCCATCACAGAGAGGCTGGTCTCGCCCTTCTCTGCGCACATGATGTACAGAAACACAGGGAAAGTGGATGTGCCATAATTTGACCATTTTGTCCGCAAAAGGCCGTGAAATCAATAGTCCATTTAAAGAGGATCAGAGGTCAGGAGGCTTCACATGCATGTCTCTGCACCCCTCTCTGTGGGGAGCAATTCACACAACGCCGTGCTAGAATTATGATGTACAACCTAGAAAATCACAGGGGCTTTTTTGTTGTCATGGTTATTGAGTGTTCGGTAGCTTCAGGGGAAATGGGAGTTTGGGGGAGGAGGAGGGTGCAGAGAGGAAAGGGGGGGAATGGATGGGTGTGCGTGCGTGAGTGGGAGGAGGGGGTGCTATCTTAATTGCTTTCCGTGAATAATTTCAGTCCCCTAATTTGGCGATAATGACAGTGGCTGCGGCTTTTGTATTTATTTATCCAAACATTAATTGACAGGACTGACATTAGCCAGGGCGGTTATTGCGCATTTGATTGCGCACAAGGGAGCAAAGAAAATTACAGTAATTATCATTCTGATATGGATTATGAATATGCATTCCCACACTTAATGTCTCTGTCAGCATTTTAGGAGCAACAAGGCACTCTGCCATGACAACAGCACTTAAGCTCATCACCATCTCTGTTCCTGTCAACCCCATCCAACCACTGCTTGTGGAGAACAGATGACATGCAGGGTCCAAAATGATTGCGCTGCCCTAATGTAGCACTTTTACAACACCCAGGCATGTTGTTAGGTGAAACAGTCGCTATGTGGATTGTTTCAATAGGTCTGTAAAGGGGCCTCGGCTTGTTGCAGATTAGTGTTTGGTGTGTTATTGCGAATGAACATTAACGTTTCTCTTTTTCCACAGGCGGAGGGAGAAGACAATTTGAAGAAGATGCAGCTGATGGAGCTAGCGATACTCAACGGGACGTACAGAGACAACAACATCAAAACACGTAAGTGAGCTGCCAAGTACAAACACACACATCCAAATTCACGCAATCCATGCACTTTACACCACATCTTCTGACTCCACATACCACGCTTTCATCGTAGAAAACCTTTCTTCTGTATTTCTCATTGACTAATGTTGTTTACCTTCATTAAACGTATGCATAGTCGGATCTCCTCTGTACATACTATCGTTGTGTTTCTGACCATAAGAAGATCTCTCTTTCTGAATCTTTCCAAACAATTCATGTTTACTTCCCCAGCCATGAGAAGGATAACTTCCACTCTGTTCTATAGTCTATATTTCTATCATTCATCCCCCCCCTTCTATCCTCCATCCTGCAGCACAGACATGATCTCTTTGTATCATTTGCTCTTGGTCAACTTTCAGCACATTGCTATATTTCACCTGCGCAACTCTGCATGTTCGTCACCAGCTCATCTATTTTAGTGTTTGCCCCTTCATCACCCAAATGTCTTTTTTTTTAAATGCATGATCAGGCTTATAATTTGAATTAAGTAAATCATATGAAGGCCCAACCCTTTGTCTACAGAGCCCCTTATTTCAGTATTTGTGCGTTTACTTTTTGAACCCTTGGTTCTTTGCCTTATTATCAGAGCCCGACCGATTTAATCGGCCAGCCGGTAATATCGGCCGATATTAACATATCAACTGACTGTCGGTATCGGCTAATTTTTATCGCAGATGTCGCCGATAGTACTAGATTCATTGATCAGTCAAATAGCATTAAAATTGAATTTCATTGTATTACACTAGCAGTTCCCTTTCTGGATGTCAACAGCAGAGGGTGCTATATGGATTACAGCAACCAATATCACCCTGCAGACTGTCGAGCGATGATGCAAGTACACTCGCAGTTACCATCCAGTTGAGTGACAATCTTTTCTTCATTATACATCTTTTCCACAAGTGTTTGATTACTACATCTGACAGATCAACACAATAATTGTGTTTATCTATATCCATCTATATCTACAGATCCAACATGGATGTAAGACAGATATCGGTATCCGATTTTTTCTCTTTCCCTAATGTTGATATCGGTATCGCACCCAAAAATCCCATATCGGTCGGGCCCTATTTATTATCATTGAAAGTGTAATTTTACATGGCCACACACATGAAATCAACAGTGAATAAATTAATCAAAGTAATTAACTTTCCCTGTATAACATCTGTTCAAATGGAAGCCATGATGAACAGGCCCACCGTCTAACATTAGCTTTCTTAGAGCTTGATGCCTTTGGGGGGAAGCATGTGTGGCACTGTTCTCAGCACATGCTTATGCAGAACCACTTGAAAAATGATTTATGTGTTTAAAATTATACATTTTTTCCAACTGAAATGGAGTGCTGAACATGTGGGGGATCAACACGTTCTTGCATTACTGGTGAAAATTCCCCCTTGTGATTTTGTGAATAGTGTTTTGTAAATCATCCCCTTCATTGAGTATCTCCCCCCAAATAGTCGTCGCTCCATTTCCGTTGGCATGTATGTTGTTTACCTCACCTCTGCCATTTCTAGTAGATGAATGTTTTGCTGCCATGGTGATTTGTATGCTTTGAATGCATTGGGATGACAGCAGCGTTTTGTGCTTTTGTGTTTTGGTGCGAGGGTTTTTATTTTTTTATTTTGTCTGGCTTATGTTGACTTTTCCTTTGCAACAGATTGTGGCTTTGTGGTTCAACACCATGATCATTGCATGGACTAATTTTCCCTTTTGCCCCCTCCCCTCCTCTCTCCTCTCTACCTGCCACTTCCTGTTCCCTATTCTTTTCCTGCTTTGTATTCCCCCCCCCCCTCACTGTTCATATGTGATTATGATCGTCCACACTTCATCTTTTGTCCTCTTTCTTCTTTCTACTCCTGTCCTTCGCTCTCTTGCTTATGGCAGCCACCCTTGCATTCTCTCTTGCAGCAGCGGCAGCAGCCGCTCAGGGCCCTCGCCTAATAGCGGCCCCCACGGGTCAGGTGTTGCCTCCCCAAGCACTCCGACCCCAGACACCAGCCGGGACTCCCATCATGAACCTCATCCGGCCCACTCAGATGGCTGCCATGCTGCCCAATGGCACCCCCACCCTGGTGCCTCCCACACCGGATGGCGGGCTCATCTACACCTCCCCTTACGAGTACCCTTACGCCCTGGCGCCCACCTCCCTGCTGGAGTACCCCATCGAGCACAGTGGGGTTCTAGGTAAGAGAGCCTGGGGAAGCATGGGTGCGGCAGGTACAGCGCCCAACTTTAGCCAGCCTGGACAGGAGGGCAGCTTGTTTTACCCCGGAGTGGGGGTGCTGGACGCGGCTTCCATGAGCCACAGTCAGGACTTGTTGAAAGGTAAATATATCGTGTCCACCTGAGGATCACAAAAACAAACTCGCGGGGTGGATAAGCTGGGAAAGCTCTAGGTAATGGGATGACCAGCTATGTGGCTCATATGGACACTGTATTAAGAAGGCAAAGTGGGACAGATGTTACCTTGTGAGGGCTAGGCTCTAGGCAAGTTCTCTTTAAAAATGTAGACTTCACTGTTTAGTTACTTCCTTGCAAAAACAGTTCTGCTCTCAGGTTTACATTGCCTATTTTCTGCGAGGTTCATATAGGAGGACTGGGCTCAGAGTGAAAAGAGACACACTGGCAGAAAGACGCTCACATACACGCAGCCTGCTCTCTAACCCTCTCATGCACTGGCCTGGAGGCATATTCAGTCTGGCGGCAGATCCCCTCGGATTTCTGCAGCTTTTGAAATCATTTCTCCGCGCTGTTCTCTGCAGGCAGGCCTTGATGCCTGTAGATAGTCCCTCTCTCACTCCCACTGGGGATGTTCATTAAATTCCTCCAGTCTCCCCCTTTTTCTCCTCCTTCCCCTCTCTCCATTGTCTCACCCCTCTCGAACTCCAGCGCTGTGCTAATACGTGACGTTCCTTTTTTAAGGTCTATGTCAGGAGTACAGTTCTCTATAAGGGTCTATAGATTATATTCAACCTCAGTGGTGCTTTAAGCTCAACACATCTGCTACCAAAGAGACAACTCTACATCTAGGGATGAATACAAAGTGACTTATAGGAACCCCATATGTTGGACTGAGGTTCTGTTGAACATTAGCGATGCTTTATCCCATGTTAAGACGAAAGAGACTTTAATTTGACACAGAACTCGGCGGCATCTGGCAGCAGCAAACACTGTGGTTTTTAGCTGACCTGTGTTTTTTTTTTAGATGCCTCTGGGAGTCATGTGCAGAACAGACAGGGGCAGCCGACTGGCTTTTCTCTCTTTAACTTGCAGGGTTACACCAGCTTAGTGCATTTTATTTACTCACACTATCGATTGGTGCCTTCAGCAACACAGGGCCCCGTTGAACACACTCACTCGCGTACCCACACACACACACACTCTGCGCTCGGCTCGGCTGCCTGCGCTGCTGAATCCAGCCGCTGAGAATTAGGAGATGTCAGGCCATCTGCTTCCTCAGAGTCGTGTCGGTGGCTCCGTCGTCATAAGCCAAAACTGTCTCTTCATTCGATAATGCCAAAACAGAAATCCCAGTTTAATTTTCATACTTATTCCATTCGTCCCCCCCCCATCTTCCTTCGGGAGGGTTGATTTATATTAAATAATTAATTTACACATTTCTAATGTAATACTTGAAAATAAAGTGACACACCAACCGTTTGATGTCACATATTCAAGCGCTGCGAGGGGAAGAAATGAGTTGTGACAAACATAGGAGGGAAATGACAGCCTCTGTCGCCAGAGAACAGATTGACCTGGAGAGAAATAGTGAAGGAGGGAGGGAGAGAGAGAGAAAATGAAAGAGCGAGGAAGAGGCAGGTGGTGTCTGGGACTATTCAATTACCATCAGAGCTGTATTGGATTTCCCCCCCTCCTTTCAAAATAAAGAGACAAATTTCTCTCAATCCCCCCCACTGGATCCCAGAGGAAGAATCACATTATTTCTCCCAGACAGCCCAGGAGCTTTTACCCTTTACCTCCCCCCCCCCACCACCTCCTTCAAAGAGTCCTCCATATGACTCTGAGCACTGTGGAATTTTATGACTTAAGTTATGCATTGTTTAAATACCAAGTTAAACGCCAAAAAAAAGGTGTATTATTTGTTTTTCTACTGCATTTTTCTACACGTAAACAAAAAGCTATGTGTGTCTGTGTACATGTACTATAATCTGTATTCTGTTGCTATTCGGTGTATTATTGTATTATCCAAGTATTCTAATGATAACGGCTAAACAAATGTGAATGTTCTTACTGTAAACATGACTGTTTCTCCCCTGCTCCAAGTGAATGGTTTCTAACCTTGTGGACCTGTTGCGATCTAGGTGCAATGGCTACTAAAGTGAGACGGCATGACACGCGGGTCCATCCTTACCAAAGGATTGTGACCGCTGACAGAGGTCAGTTTAGTCTCCTAGCTACACTCTGCTATTGACTGATGATGACATGATTATTATGCCTATTATGCCTCGATGCCTTAGTTGGGAATTTATATATTGTCTGTATTCTATGATTTTGTCCCCTTCCCCTCCCCCCACCACCACCTCTCCTACCCCACACATCCACACACCAGCTAAATGGTCGCTTGTGGTTCTGCACATTTTTTGTTTACATTTAGTACTTAGAGCATATGCAGTATTAAACGACTGTATTTGTCAAAGCTCAGGCGGAAAGTGATCTTAAGAGCTTTTTTTTTTGGTTCATGCAGCTGTGAAGCCAGGACAGGTGATACTGAGCAGGAAGGTGTATCATGACATTCCTCTGATGTGAGATTAGAGCGTTAAAATGGGTGGGGGTGGGGGTGGGGGGAGGCTTGTTCCTATACATGATTTATCTGCAGCGCTCATAAGGAAAAATAAAAGGAGAAGCATTTGAGACCTAGTAAGAGGAGGACGAGTAGCTGCGCTGCTAGCAGGCACCATGTTACTTTGACATGTAGATGAATTTAGCCTCTTTTTTTTTTTTTTCCTACGGAGGGTAGACGCGCACACACATGAGCTGAGGTCGCTTCCTTTCTCTCCAGTGTTTTTTGCAAACAGATTGAAATAAAGCTAAAATACATTTTTTAAAATATTTTCAGTTGTACATGAGGTACTGTCATTTTATATTTGAGCATTTTATATCAAATGTATTTATGGTTCTTGTGTATATTTATATTCTCTAAAAACTATACTGCTAAATAAAGAGCGAGAGAATCGGACCACATCGATTCAGTTATTCTTTTGCACATTGACCACCATAGACCCCCCGTTCCCCTTCACGTAACAGTAGTGACTGTAAGTCGGCCGTTCAACTAATCACACTGTCTGTAACTTGCACTCCACCTTGACAGACACTAAAAACACTAGATTTTTGTTCCTCTGATTTTGTTTGTCTGTTCAACCTGTCTTTGCTTCAGATGTTTGGTTATGGGGGGGGGGGTGCGCTTAAATGAAACCACACAGCTACCTGACTCAGGATGGGGGCTTAGTAGTAGAGCGATCATGATGCTAATCGTCATGGTTACACTGAGATTAGCTGAGACCATCTCACATTGGCATACAGGGGAATTAGGAGCAAGGGGGGGGGAGGGGCGACATGAGAGATTGCATTCATTTTATTGTTAAAATGATGTCATTCCAGTCTCTTCTTGCTGACACTAATATCCTTTCTATCTTTTTTTTCTGTTTGTTTTGTTTTTGTTTCTAACCACCTAGCCGCCACCGGCAACTAACACATGACCTTCTGACCTCTGAACTCTTCACCCAATGACGAGCCGCCCCAAGCCTGCCTGCTGATCAGTTAACTGGTAATTGCCTTTTGCTAGCCTCTCGGACGCAAGTGAGAGAGAGAGAGAGAGAGAAAGAGAGAGAGAGAGGCGCCTGCCCGTACAGTTACCCTAACACATTCTGACAAAAAAACAACAACAACAACAACAACAACAACAACAACAACAAAATAGACAACAACGCAGCATCTTCACAGAAACACAACAAAACCCAACTACGTTGTGTAATATTCATTTTTTTCCCTCTGTTCATTGAGTTAAGTTCCCATTCTTTCTCTTTCTTTTTCTTCATGAATCACACACTGGGTGGATGTGTTTATGTTGTACTCATAAATCTGCACTGAATTATATAGCAATAAAGAACCCCACCCAAACCTGCCCACCCACCCTCCTTTATAAGCTCCAATTTGGTGACCTCAGCGGTATGAGTCAAAGTTCAATAACATCCATTTGACGCAAACCTTTATTGGTTTCAGAGAACAAAGTCCCGTCCCCCCCTCAAATGCAGGACCCCCTCCCCGCCTCCAACACCCACCACCTTTTTTTTGTTTTTAAAGGAGAGAAAAAGAAACAGAAGGAAAGGGAACAAACGCTCACATTAACTTGTTTAATTTCTGTCATTTTTTTCACATGTAGTGCAATTTGTTGAGCTCTGAGATGTGATGATGAGCTGACACATTCTGGGTGTGCACCTCCAAACAGCTTTCTGTCTGTTTATAAACAAACAAAACACAAAAAAAAACAAGCATGGCTGAAATGATTGCAAAAGGAGCTTTTTATGATTTATGTGTGTTTTTTTTTTCTTCTGCTGTCTTTTTTTTTTTTGTTTGTTTGCTTTTTACTTTTGAGTCATTCTCTCCACCTGATTTTTGGTATTCTCTGTTTTCCATGTTTTCCATGTTTGACTAATTAGCTTCGCTTCAATCGACTCGCCCCAAACTATGGCAGGTGTTTTTTATCTCTGGAAAACGAAAACAAAGCAATCTGATGTTTGAAGCAGGCTTCAGAAAAAATAAGCAACCATGAAGGGCAAGATGGGGAAGGTCATTATTAGGGATGAGGGGTCTTGTGTGTGTGTGTGTGTGTGTGTGTGTGTGTGTGTGTGGCTGGGTGTTTGTGTGTGTGTGTGTGTGTGTGTGTGTGTGTGTGTGTTTTAATTAATACTACATTGAAAGTAGGGTGTGCTGAGGCTACGGGGTTAGTGGTAGTGCTTCTCAGCGACTGACCATTGCTACGCCCCCATCCACACTACATCCATTATAACAGTGCCTGATGTATTTAGAGAAAATATCTCCATGAGTTAGCCGAGCTGTGATGGAAAAGACAAAAAACAAGAAAGTATTACGTGTGCGTATTTAGCCAAAGGGTTTTCCAATGAATTATATATCTGCAATTATGCGTCTGTCTCATAGAGGGCTCCGAGTGTAGAGAGGTGTGAATGTGTGGGGCCTGCCTTCAGCTCACACGGACAGCAGGGTCACTCCAGGTCAAATCAGACAGGGACTTTCATATATTCTTCACACACACTCTGAAATCTGCTCTGTAGGAAAAATCAAATAACTCCTGTTTAACGTTTCGCTGATTACTCTTTACCTCAGGACTTTTCTTATTTCCACACTGCTTAAATTAACTTTACAGAAAGACTTTTTTGAAGTTCAACAAGTTCAGACACAGAGCTCCTGATGCTTTCCCTCTGTAGGAGAGACCCCGAATAAAATATCTAGATCTGAATGATTAACAGACATGAACAGATGTCACATTTAAAGTTTCTGACTCTTTCTGAAAAATATTTTTAAAAAGGTGGAAATATACACACTAATGCATTAAAGCTTCCTGATAATGAAGATCCAGTTCTAAAAGGTAAATCGTCCACTCTCTCTGATTTGACCTGGTGTGTGACGCTCGCAGGCGGTCAGATCGTCTCTGACCCATTAACGCTCTGCTTTTTGAGGAGGCTTAACGTGGGCTATTAACACTAAATCAACATGCTCCTAGGTTACATGGCGAGGGGGGGGGGGAGGCAACTTTGAAGTTCTGTACATAAATGCTTTTCATCAACCTGGCTTCTATTTTTAAGTTGTTTCATCAGCCTCATTGCCAAAAGAGTGTTTTTAGTTTTCTTCCATTTTTTTAATTTCAGCATCTCAACTTTTGGTCGACTTTTTTTTACGTTTAGTTTTTTTTTTTTTTTTAACCCCGGTGAAACTTCCTTTGCAATATGAGGTTGACATTCTGTAAGCCTTCGTGAACATGGACACTTGTGTTCTCTGATGATGAAACGTTCATTTCTCACACATAAAGCGTCCAGAAGAGAAGCGCATCCACAATGTGTCACACCTCCCCGGGATCTCGGACCCGATCCGGAGACCATGAACCTTTTGTTGAACTCTCTCAAGAAAAAATAGGATGTGAAAGCCATGCCTGCCTGTTCAAATTGCTTTATACATACTTATTATATATATATAAATATATATATATATATATAAATATATAAAAATGTAGATATCTGTCATTGCATATACAAATACAGAAGAGAACAAAAACTAGATAATTTTACAGGGTGCTGGAGAAGAGGAAAAAAATGAGAAATCTATTTTTGGCAATTTTAGCTTTTGATACCTTACTTGCAGTTACAAAATCAGAAAAAAAGACATTAAAAAAAAATGTTTTAAAGCGTAAAAAGGGGGGGAAAACAGATAAGCTGAGTGGGTGAGGAAGAAGTGCTGTTACCCTGGATATGATTTGAAACGAGGAAAAAAAAAGACCAAAAGAGTCGTAACCCTGGAAGAGAGCGAGCGAGACAGACGCCTGAAGAGTTTCGAAACAAAACACAGTATGATCAAATCAAAGTGCCTTATCAACAGTGGTTTCTGTTTCCTGAGTATTCCAGTTGTGTTCAATAATATCCAGCACCCACCGAGACGGCGCAGAGAGGAATGGCTAGCGTTACACGCTCTGAATAGTCAAGCAGGGCGGGGCCGCCACCTCAACGTGGCGTCACCCTCCGAGTTCTTCTATGCAAAAAGAATAGCAGTCATTTTGACCAGCTAAAATATGTGCCATGGTTTTGTCTTCCTGAACTGATTTTTTGTTTCTCCTTTTTACTATACGGCCCTTTACTCTGCAGTCAGTGCAGCTTTCTGTTCTCTTGATTCAGATTTTAACGATCAAATGAAATATTGTCTTGATTTTTTTTTTTTTTGTGAACTGTGACAAACTTCCTCAAACAAATTGAACTGCCAATAGCAATGCAGCAGTCTGCCAGAACATGTTTGGATCATGAGCCGAGCGAAAAAAACAAAAACAATAACACAACAGGGAACGGATATTATAAATAAAAAAAAAAAAAGAAGGGGGGGGCGGTCGTCTGCGCTTGTTTCAACTGCTGCAAACTGAAATCATCCGCTCCAAGTGGTCTCTGTCAAATTGACACCAGACGATCAGTTCAATCAGGACGGATGAAAAGTGCTGACTAATAAATAAATAAACAATAATCAAAAAAGTTTTCAGTTGTTGAAACAGCAGACGTGCAGCGTGTGACCTGAAGGTGAAAAACATCAACAAAGCGATCATGTCTAAAGTCGTCACCCTCCGACCGGCGTCACAAACTTGGCAGTCTTTTTTTTTTTTTTTTTTTTTTTTTTTTTAACTCATAGCTCTTTTCATTGTGCTGTTACACCGAAAGGTCATAGAATTTTGTTTTCTTCTTCTCAGTGTTATTCAAATTTTTTTATTTTTTATTTTTAAATTGAAAATGCAATATTAAAGCAGATCAAGAGATGGCTATTCAGCATTCGACAGTATTAAGAAACGTCTCTGTGCAATGTTACAACTCGCTGTGTCATTGTGAAAGGCTGGATAAGTCCATCAGGTGAAAGGTGAATTCTATACCTACCGTATTCTCTCTGGCCTGCCTACTACATGTATGATAATGTAATTAACAGCCATTGTTACAGGTTTATAATGTATTTTTCTATTCTCATTTTATATGTATATTAATCATGTTTTTCTGAGTGCTTTCTTTTTTTTTTTTTAAGAAAACCCACTGCTCCTTTTTTCTCCCCCCCTCTCTTCCTCCCCCTCTCTCTTTGACATCTTTAAGACTGTCTCTTGTGGGGAGTGTTGCCTTTTCCCTGTTATATATATCTTTTTATTTTTTTGTTTTTTTTGTTCTTTCCTTGCCAAATCCCAGCTTGTTTAACTCATTAGCGACTTTATTAGTTTCCTTGTCATAAGTATTTTTACATGCTTGCATTTAGTTTTCATGGTGTATGCTGTTATTTTTCTTATTAACCTCTTGGCATTTATTTTAATAAAACATTCTTAGTAAGAATTTTACTAACTTTGCTGAGATTTTTGTCTTGTGTTTTTAACCAGTTTCATGAATGTATTTACCTTTTGGTCTGGATCACGGACTAACACGATTAAAAAAAAAAAAACAACAACAACAACTTCCGTCTGGCCATCACTCACACTGACTTATTGACACTACACAAACACACACACTCACACACGGCAACACAAAACCTGCACGAGTTGAAAAGCTCCGCCTCCCCCTTCACTGCCGCTCACGCACTCTCACCTCTGTGCTGAAGAAACCTGCTCACAATATTCACACTCGCCCCGCCCCCCTCCTCCTCCCCTTCCTCTTTCCCTTCAGTTCAAACACCGCTGCTGTATCTCGTCGCCTCTGTCGTTTGAGACGACCCTCTCGTCGTTAGTTGACCCGTCCTTCTCGTGTGATGGCAGGAAGAGAGGGGGGGGGCGCTCATATAAGCTGCATGTTACTGGAGGTCACTGGTTATCCTCTGGGTAGGCTGTTCCCTTCACACTCCGGTTAAAAGTCGGGTTTTATTCACTATTGTTACTAAAGAAATAATCCCTGCAGATAAAAGTCCTCTTTCTCTTCGCTCCTGCAGGACTTAACGATAATCTGTGCAAAGACACTGCTAGTCATCTCTAAAGGATTAATGCTACTGATCAGGACATTACACTGAGGGGAGGGGGGGGGCAACACGTACAGATGACAGTTTCATGTGATAGTCTAAATCTGTCCCCGCTCTTTCATTGATGGTTCCATTGCGTCCTGGTCATGCCTGGATAGCAGTGTTACAGTTATCACCAGCTGTTGTCTGTTTGGTGAACACTTCTCCCCCATTTGGCTTATTGATAGAAGCGCTAATACCGGGTCATTGGGGAGCACCCATAATGCTTAGACACACACCAGTACACCGTGCCAATATGAAGTACTTTGGGATCAAAACAACCCGTTCTATTCCTTCCAGTGTCAAATGCTGATCTGGCTTTCAGCCTGCAGAACTCTGGTTGTTTTTTTTTTTTGTTGTTTTTTTTCCTGCTGTCGCCCGCTCGTCCCGGGGTTCATTCAGCTCTCCTCTTTCTCTTTTTATTCAGCTTTCTTCCTCCTCCACTAATTCAAGGTATTGACACTGACACACAAGCAAGCAAAAAGAAAAAGATTAACTTCATTAATCCTGATTTATTTTTTACTTTAACCCACCGAGTGATGTCTCAGGATTTAATTTTTTTTCCTGCTCTTTTTCTCCAAAATCTGCACAACAACAAAAAAAAAACATCTTGGCCTAACAGTTTTCAATTCTCCATCACGCCTCAGCGAGCAGGATACAAGGATTAAAAGAGTCTAACATCAAACTTAACATTTCTCTTCCTCTCTGGAATTAACATCTTGTGTCTTGGATCTGAAAATGTGTTTTTTTCCGCCTCCAACACTTTGCTTGTTCACCAGCAAGTCGAGGCAGAGATTGGACTACAGGCAGCACAAATAGATTCTTTAAACTCTGGGAATACACGCTTTCATTTATTAGCTTTTTTCTGATTGGCTCCTTTTTTGACCTCGTGAGAAACTTGAGCAGAAGTCCGTCCTTTAGCGGCTCATTTCTTTGTTTTTACCGAGTAGATAAAAACATGATGATATTTTTTCCAGAGCACATGTTACAACAAACACTGCCGACTTTAAAAAAAAAAAAAAAAAGTGCCTTTTTTTCCTAAACATGAGAAATGATATATTTTTCTACTTAACCATTCAAGTGCCAATTTTCTGCCTCCTTTAATCTCGCCGTTAAGCTTTTTTGTCGAGCACAAAAAAAAAACTAAATGCCCACGCTTTTTTTTTTTTTGTACATACTTTCAAATGTTAACTGGAAACGTTTGACCAAAACAAACTGGGAATTTTGGTCACAACAGCTCCCCGCCATTAAACGCTGCTTTAATGGCACCTGTTTTGAATTTGACGAGCTGAGAACGTTCTGATTGGACCACAGTATGCAGCCACCGTCTGCGCGCATACTGCTGCCCAGTTCTCAGCGGCCTTTTTCCAAAACGCCGGGCATTCAGTGTATTGATCTACTAACTACCTTTTTTCACCTGTCAGTCGTTTTTCTTTATTTTCTTCTTCTGTTCTGTTTAACAAACATTCCTCCAATGAGTTAAACGGCAGGTTAACCAATCAGTATTGCTCTCAGCGATGTAGCACTCAGGTGGTTAAAGGGCAAATGCTACCAAAACAGAACAGGAAACACGAAGCCCCACTGGAATTTCTTTTTTTTTTGACTGTGATAAAAGTTTTCCTAAAATCATACTAGTATGATATAAACTGTAAGTTTCTCATCCATAGAGTGGTGCACTAAAATCTGTGAGATTTTCTTTTTTTTTGTGGAGTTGTAAGTTTTTAATGTGACGTAGCCTTTATTCTTTTGTTTTGTGTTACCTTTGTTTTTACAGAGGGTAAGACTGAGAGTTTTTGATTAGGGTTGTAAAACATGTAATGCCAGTTTTTGTTGCTCACACCAAAAAAAAAAAGTAAAGAAAAGAAAAAGGAAAAACAAATGTCATGTGTGCAATAAAGAATCATATTTACAAGCTTCCCTCTGACTGCTCTACCTGGACTCGTCCTTTTGCTTCCATATATCGCTGACATCATTTCTGTGGATTTGCTGTGACTCTGGCCCGTTAAAAGGTAGGTGCGCCGCTTTTGCAGGGAATAAAAAAAATGAAGAAAAAAAGAACACGAAAGTTCAACACTGGCAAAATAAATCTCGCCTAAACCTTCAAAGTGAGATCAAGCCCCCCTCGCTTGGACTTCAGCGTGATGTCGTGAAAATGTTGGGAAATGTCGACCTTCTGAGAGGGTTGCGGGGGAAAGCTTTCTCCGGAGATGGTATTTAACGGTCAAATCCATTTCTGGCTGGAGTCGTTTTGAACTGGCACATAAATCTTTTGGCTTTTTTCACTCCGGCCAATCGTTTCGCAGCACAGCAGAAGATAGGAAATGGTGTGGCATTTGGTTAAAAGATCACACTTCTAATGCAGGCTGAACACTCACGCTGTCAAAGACATCTATTTTTAATAAAGACGATGCACACTGATGTGTCGAGAGTGTGCAGCACTCATCACAGAGGTCAGGCTCACACCAGAGAATCTGCATGCACTTCAGACAGAGATGTAGCGTTGTAGTGCATGCTGACCAAGTTTCATTATAGAAACAGTTCAGACACTGAGATGCAGAAAAATAAAAATAAACATTTCTCTACCATCATAATTAAGATAATGGATTATTCTCAGGGTATGATGTTCACAATGAATCCCTGATGGTCTCTTAAGGGTCCTAACTTTTTCTAATTATTAATGAGAATTGCTCATAAACAAAACACATTTAGAAAAAGACACAAGTTCCATTTGAAGTGAATTTACTAAGACTCAGAGAGTACTCCTCACACAGCAGTACTCATAAGTCTGCAGGCATGTCATTGGACTTTTAAAAAGCGGGTTGTTGGGGCGCCTGTACAGAGGCTTTAGTCCTCCATGTGGGCGGCAAGGGTTCAATTCAATTCAATTCAATTCAATTTATTTTTGTATAGCGTCAACTCATAACAAGTGTTATCTCAAGACACTTTACAAAAAGCAGGTAAAAGACTTTACTCATTGTTATGTTACAAAGACCCGGCCTATCCATCATGATCCACTAGCAAAGCAGCAAAAGTTACAGTGGTAAGAAAAAACTGCCTTATTAAAAGGCAGAAATCTTCAGCCGGTTCAAAGCCAACCTGTGGCTCCTTTTCCCACTCACTCTCTCCCTGATATCTGACTCCATCCACTGTCCTATCTCTAAAATAAAGGCACAAAAAGCCTAAAAATAAACAAAAAACAGCCAGTTTTTTAATGAAATGTTAGCGTTTTAATGACCTTTCACACAAGTATCACTGTGAACTGTAATACATATCTCACTAAATATATCGTCTTGTTTTCTCTTAGAAAAATATGCATTTGATTCCAGGCTTTATTTTCAACTTTTTCACCTTCATCAAATGTGCAAGTTAAGATGTATGTCCCTCACTTTTATTTTAAATGCTGTAATTAAAGAAAATAAAAAGAGAACATTTCAGTAACTTTAAGTTTTTTAAGGATATGTGTACAGGAACTATTCCACACACAGCAAAGATGAAAAACAAAGGTTCAAGGACACATTTTACGTCCAACAAACACCCTGTCAATGAACTACAAGCTTCTGACAACTATAACCTCTAAGTGAAATGTAAGAGTGATCATCTCAGCTGCTGCAGTCACCTAAACGTCTAGATGCACGGCGGGAAACAGAAGCTTAATCCCATTAGCAGAAGCACTAAAGGTGGATATACCTAAACCTTAATCTGCTGTTGATTCTGCACACGAGCCATCTGGATGCAAACTCTCATCCTAATTCTATCTCCATTTCTTCAGCTCTCTGCAAACACATTCAGAAAATAAACCTCATCAAAACAACGTTCGTGTTTCTTCTATGTATCAGGGTCCTTATGAGGTGTTGCCTGGACTCCATCCCATGCAGCCTCCACAACAACTTCCTTTACTTTCAAACACATCATGACTTCAGTGGGTTACTCTGGGAGCTTGGTGCATCATGTGAATGTACCTACAGAGGCAACTGAAAGTGATGTGAACCAACCGCCTCAGCAGGTAGTTCTCACTTTCTTCCTCATCAAAGTGTTGAGTCAGGGCTGCAGTTAAGTCCCATTTACATCAGTTAACAACTCCTGTGGGGCTTCCTGATGACTCTGTGAGGTGAACTGAGCCAGCTGTTGCCGTAAAAGTAGAGAAGTGCGGATGTACAGCCGCATATATTCACAGTCAGAGTCTAACTTTTTCATGTTTTTAATCACAAGGACGCTGAAGTGGACTTGTCATTACGCCTTCAGCCGGTAACTCAGCGGGAAAAAGAAATCCAAACGACACGGCAGATCTTCCCCTCTCTCTGTTCTCTCATCCTCTTGCTGGAGGACAGAGTTGCTGCTGCTTGCTGATGCTGAAAGAGGGGGGCAGAGGGGAGTAACCGGTTCACAACGGGGGTGTGCTGGAAGTGACTTTAAAGTCATGCAGGAGGCGAAAGAGTGCAAGAAGAAGTGGAAGGGAGGAGGTGGAGGGTGCTGCTGATGGTGGCTTTGGCCCCCGGGAAGATGCATCAAAGGAGCATTTGTCGCAGAGAGCAGCTGGGAGTCTAATCAGAAAAAGGACTTGGTGTGTGTGTGTGTGTGTGTGTGTGTGTGTGTGTGTGTGTGTGTGTGTGTGTGTGTGTGTGTGTGTTGAAAGGGGGAGAGTGGAAGGGTTGCATCAGTAGTGACAGATGAACCAGCTTCCTGTGGAATGAATGTAGGGCATTCATCAGAGTGCAGCTGTTTCTCTCTCTGTCGTACTCTGTGTGTGTGTGTGTGTGTGTGTGTGTGTGTGTGTGTGTGTGTGTGTGTGTGTGTGTGTGTGTGTGTGTGTTTGAGTGTTTGAGTGTTTGAGTGAGTTGTTTTAGCGTGCACAGTTGTTGCACGTTTCAGGCTTTAGATTGATGAATGAAACTCTATAGTTCTTTGGGCACCTGTGCAGAGTGACAAAGTCTAGCAGCTGGATTGTGTGTGTGTTTGCATGTGTGTGTGTGTGTGTGTGTGAGACATAGACACAGACAAAGAGACAGAGAAGAGAAGCAGTTTTATTTATTTTTTTTGTATCTATGGAGGGAATTTCTCCTTCAGGAATGAGTAACAGAGTCATTTTGTGGCTTCTTTGTGAACTCCATCACTCACCGTATCCGTAGTAACACAGCGGTGATTGTGTCCTTTAAAAAGTATCCATCTTTAAAATAAAAGCTCCTGAGAACACATCCTGCTTTCTCTAATAGCAGCAAATAATATGTCATGGGGTTTATGGCAAATACGACTCCACCACTCTGCAAAACGTATGCATTTGTCTCCCTACAGATATTATTATTATTATGATACTCAGTGCATCATCAGACAGCTGAAATCTCCTCGGTCTGTTTCGTCCTCCCTGAGATGCAGATGTCACCTTCAGAAGAGAAACTGTCCTCTGATTGGTTGTGTCACTCCAGCTTTGAGAAAACGATGAATCTTCCCCTCCAGTCTCGCCGGCTGTCCTGCTGCTTTTGCTCTGCGTCTCTGTTGAGTGATCTGGACAGGTGTGAATACTGCAGGCCGTCGTCACCTAATGCTGACAGAGCCTTTCTAACAGGTGTGTGTGTGTGTGTGTGTGTGTGTGTGTGTCTTTGTCTCACACACACCCACACTCTCCCCTTCTCACATCTCACATCCGTTTATACAAAAAACTGAAAACTGCATGGACTTTTATTTCTCACTCAGCTTATGTATGAAGTCAATCTAAATGTGAGCTGTAGTAGTTCACACTCTGAAATAACAGGTTGTGTGAAATGCAGGTGAGTGATTTTCTAGTGGGAGTAAAGAAATTCCGTGGAGCGAGTCGGGAGGAAAGTGTCGACAGTCAGAGGAAATAAACCTCAAAGTCAATTTAGGTGTCAGCAGGTGAAACATCAAGTCCAAAAACTCCTCACTTCATCGTCAGTTACACCACAGCGACGGGATGAGGAGATTTAAGGATGCATGATTTTAAAATAAATAAATCAAAGCCACAAACCACATTCCTCTCCCAATACAAACTTCTTGCAGAGAGTGAAATTCCCTCGCTAAGGACCGTGCTACAGCTAACCTTTAATGTGGATTAATAAGGTAATGTGAGACAGATGACTGCTTTCAGCTGTTACGCTCTGAGACTGTGGAACGACCTTCCTGAGGGTCTGAGAGGAGCCCAGAATATCGAGATTTTTAAACGCAGTCTTAAAACTCATTTATTCAGTCTGGCTTTTATATAGTGTTTCATATCAATTCAAATCTTAACATTACTGTATTGTCTTTTTTATCCTACGACAATTTTAAATATTTTACTCTTATGTATTTATTTTAATATTTTGTTGCTTTTATGTGTCGTATTTTATTTTATTTTTATACATATTTTTTAATTCTTATTGGTGTGCATTAGTCTCTCAATGATTTTATAAACTACTTGCACTCTTGTAAAGCACTTTGAACTGCAATTTAATTTGTCTGAAAGGTGCTGTATAAATAAAGTTTGATTGATTGATTGATTGAGATGTCTGAATGTGTATGAGAGGGGGGTGTAGGGGAAAGATGGCCGTCATCTTTACGGCTGGTCTGGGTGGTTGATCGGAAGATTGGGCAAAAGGGAGAACACATCTTTAAAGTGTGCCAGGGCCAAGGAAGCACTCGCACTAGTCAAAGGAAGTGGACTTTAGGGGTGAAGCGTGCTTAGGAGTGCACCCTCAGAGTGGGGGTTCAGTCTCTGATTACGGCCCAGACTGTAGAATAAGAGAGACATGGGAGAGGCATACGGCAAGATGACAAGGAAAGGGATGAGGAAGGAGGGGGAATGGATGACAAGGAGGGAAGGGAGGGTGGGTCTGAAGAGACAAACAGAGTGGAGTGAGATGACTAGGTAATTCAAGGTCCTGCTCCTGAACTTAGGTTAACACATGCACCTCCTGAAGTGTGTCAAC